GTTCCCCAGTGGTTCCATGGGGGGTTCCCCAGTGGTTCCATGGGGGGTTCCCCGATCATTCCTTTGGTGGTTCCACAGTGGTTACATGGGTGGTTCCCCAACGATTCTATGGGGGTTTCCCAGTGGTTACCGGTGGTTCCATTGGTGGTTCCCTGATGATTCCATGGCGGGGTCCCCAGTTGTTCCCTGATGATTCCATGGGAGGTTTCCCGATGGTAGAAGCCAAGAAACATCCCTTCATAGAAAAAAACAAAAACTGCTTTCTTTATGGCTGCTCATACCTTTCATGTTTCCCTTGATTGCATTTTTAATAAATTAATAATAGAGAATATAGATAACTTTGAGTCTTGTTCACTTGATAGCAAGTTCTAGAGAGAAGTGGGATTAAAAAATTTAGGGATAAATTTTGATGTTTTTTTTTTATATTTGTGCCTCTTTTTGGCTACCAGTCAAAACCAGTCAATTGAATACCCTTCCGATTCTTAGGAAATTGTCATTTTATTGCTTAGCCAAGTAATAAATGTAAATGCATCCTTTAGCAAACTGATTGTTAAAGAAAGATCCTGTTTTTAGCCTATTTTTTTTAGATTCTACAGGTCTTAGAACTAGATTTAATACTGGGTTTATGATTATAGATTACTCATGACTAAATAAGGAAGGCATTCATATTTTTACATTTGGTTACAAATGTTTGAATAGCTTTTTTCCCAAAACGACTGAAATCCTGTTTTTAAAAATCTGCTTTGGGTTTTTGCAAGTTTTTTTGTTGTTAAATAAAAATGAAAAAACAAAAAACTAAACACAAGCTTTTACTCAAGAAGAAGTTCATGTGACCTGCTGACATTTTGTAAGGTGCTTTTAATGACTGGAGAAAGATCAGATTTTTTAATTTTAGAAAATCAGCTCAGTGGGCGGATGACAGTTCTTCCATGTGGGGAAGCAAAACAAATAAAATTGTTGAATATCGTTATGATCCAGTTATTCTAATCCGCCTCTTTGGTCTCCTCCTTCTGGCGCAGGGATGGGAGCTGATCCTAGCCGGCCGCCCTGCAGAAAGGCCAAAGATTTAAGAAAGGAGCGGCGTCTTCAGAAAGACCAGATCAGACAACAAGGCGATGGAGTCTCATCTACTAATGCAGCCAGTGCCAACCAACCCAAAACATTGGAGGATTTCATGAGCGAGTCTTTAGGGGAGAGCTCCTCTCACCGCCTCGAGGTGAGCAGAAGCTTTGAAGCTCGCACTTCTTTTAAGCATAATTTGTGGCTTGGAATGATGGTCCAACTTCTTTTCTCTCCTTTTTTTTTTAAATATTTTTAAGAAATAACATTTTTAGTAAAAGCCTCTTCCTCAACCACAGTGACTTCACCATGTGTTTATATCTGTGGAGGGAATAGCTGAGTGGAAAAAGCAGATGTTTCTAGTTTCAATTCAACAAAATGACAGACGAACCACACAGACTTATGAATTTTTAGATATTAAAACCACTAAATTGAACTAAGCCAACAAGAAAAGACATTGAAATAAGCTTTCAGGAGGAAGCATTTTGATGTAGACTGATTCCTGGCGAAGGCCTCAGACCAAAGTTAGTAGTATAATGCCAGGTTTGGTCTGAGGCAGATTTAGAGCCAGATGTTGTAGCCATGCAGACTGGATCTATTTCCCATCTCAAGTCTTTTACAAGCATATCCCAAACAATACTTCTAAAATTCATTGTTTTAGCCTGCATTAATAATTGAATTTCCCTAAATAGATACTGGGCATATCAAAGGAAGGCCAATTAATGACTTTTGGGAGGGAAGTTATTTTATATTTGTTCCCTTAAAAACAAATACTCCAATACATATAATCTATTTAACCTTAGATTTCGGAATGTTTGACTCGGTTAACACATTTTTTATTTAAATTTTGTCTTTTTTACCGATTATTATTATCTGTATGGATTTATTGGCATGTCTTGCAAAAAGTAAATAAGTTATTAACAATAGATATATAGGTAATCTTAACCTATTACCTTAGCTTGATCCTATGTACAGTTAAAGCAATAAATAAATTGGACTCAAGAAAAAGGACCTAAGTATAAGGAACTAAGTTTATCGTGCCATCATGCAGTAAGGATGATAACTGAAATAATTAAACCTCCAATCAGCTCTTTGCTAGAGAATTGAAGCAAAGCTTTCTGGGTAGTGTTACTGTAAAATAATGCAAATTGATTTAAGGTGTAATGAATCTGGAGACCATCTTGTCAAACTTATGAAATGTTTTTAGAATAGATAGGAATTTGATTAACCAGGTCCTTTCTTTGAAAAAAGAAAAAAAAAAACCTTTATAGTTTTTTTTTTTTTTTTTTTACATAAAAATCTATAAGAACATTAACAGGAAATAAAGTTTAGTTTTAGGCTTAAACGCAGGTGTAGTTCTATCTTCCACCACCAGGGTTCACTGTGACAACATCAAAGATCTTAGGCTCTGTGTGGAAACTGGAACATTCCACAGCCTTATCCTGAGAGTCCTCCACTGTTTTTGTAGTTTTGTCATAAGCTTTTTGATTTGATCATTTTTCGTAACTTAGCAATGTCTCGGTTTTTCCCCTAGTATTTTAAATCATATGTATAAACAAAAAGTCTTGAGGATACACTTTCACAGTAGCATATATACTACCGTCAAATTGAAAAAAAATGAAAAACCCTTTCTGTTGGGAAAACATGTTTTGACAGATGATAAATATTAAGGATTATGTGAGGAGAGGGCTTAATTATTTATATGGCGTCTGTATCCAGGAGGATCAGTGTTTTGCTTTGGCTGTAGGACAAAGATGGCAAGTTTTTTATATGAGAGTCTGTGTCTGTTATCCAAGTCAAACAAACCTTGAGTTCAGCTTAGCATCCTGTTCTTCTCAGATATTCATGTGGCAGCATCTCTGTGGCCAACAAAAGCTTCCAAACGAAGCAGGTCTTAATTAAAGGGGAACCGTAGGATGAGAGACTTTTCTCTCCCTAACCTTATTCTGATCGTTTCTTTTTGTTTAGTCTAATTCCTAGAACTGCATTGATGATTACGGTTAAAAATTAGTCTGTGTGTGTTTGAACATAATGGAATAGACTGTTTAAAAAAGCAGAGGCCATTAGTTGGCAACATCTTTATAGTGATCCGGCATTAGGATCTTACTCTACTGAGTCTGTAGAACAGGATATTATAAGAGGGGAGTGTTGGCCTAGTGGATTGGGCGTAGAGCTTGGAATCCTGAGGTTCTGAATTTGACCCCACTCCCACACACTGCCGCTCTGGGTCCCTGAGCAAGACCCTTAACCCTCCACACTGCTCCCCAGGTGCTCCACGGTGGCATCCCACTGCTCCCCAACAGGATTAAATGGGGGTTAAATACTGAGAGTTCATTTCATTGCTCTGTACTTGTGACAGTGTAATGACAATAAAAGCTGTTCTGTCCATCTATACTGTCTGTTTTATATTTTTATAGATATATATATAACTGGTATATGATGCAATCAAATGATTTAATACTAACTTACCAGATTAATTATTCATTAAGTAGTCATTTTAGGAAATTTAGTTTTAAAACTGCCTGATTGGCTTTACTTTTGAGACTGCCATCCTTGTTTATCGTTTAGTGTGATATGACCAAAAAACAATATATTATTATGTTACGGGCTTAAGTTGGTTGATGTTTGGTGTCATGGTCTTAATAGCTTCAATCTGAAGATTAATTTTAACATAATCTTGAAAGGCATCCCTTTAAAAATTGTTTTGTATTTCCTTTGAGTTTTTTTTTTTTTTATATATATGTATTAATGTAGTTCAGTGCATCACCAACAAAACAAGTGCTTATTGTTAAGATTAAGGCCTTTTTCATTCTGGTTTCATTTTTAAGAAGTGGATTAAGCATCACTTTTACTTGTTTGTTAACTTTGTTGGTCAGTAATTAGTTGCACCCACTCACTGGTTTCATACAGACAACTTTTGGTTTCAACTAGAACCTAAAAACTCGATGAACATGGTGAAGTCACTGAGTTGAGCTTATGCTTTTTCTCTGATTTTGGTCTGCTGTCGTGTACAGTCATGTTAAAAGAATGTCCTCGCTTATCATTAACAGGGTTTTTAATATAGAAATGACTAGGCTGTAGATTCATTGGGTATTTTCTGGCCTGACCGTACCCAAATAGCTAACTTAACTAAAAAAAAAAAAGAAAAAAATACTGATATCTGTTTATGGTGTTCTGCAATTGATTCTAGGTCCAGAATTTTCTTCCTTCAGTTGGTTCCTATTTTTCTTTACAGCATGTTTATTTACATTGTAGCAGGTCGTGCCAACTGGGTCAGTCTACTGAACGACTGTACGTAGCGACTATGTTGGCTGCTGCAGCCCCCAGTCTGCCTGTTTCATATTACCCGATCTTTTCGTTGTTCTCAGCCAGCTGTCAGTTTAAAAACAAAACAAAAAACAGTTTAATAAACTTGTTTTTCAGTCTTTCAGTTGCTATTTAAACAGTGCGATACCTTATTCTTTAAGTATTTTCTATCTGCACACAGTTTATAGGAAAAATCTAAAGCGACTTAAAAAAAAGCAAATGCATAGAAATATATGACAAGCTTAATAACCAGGGAGTTTTATTAAAAGAGTGTGTTGATATGAGGAAACTGCTCTGCAAGGAATGTTTTTTTAGCTGGAGCAAGATGTGAGTTACTCTGTCAAATAAATGTGGGCGACACAGACTCAGAGTTACACCATGATATTTTGTGCATTTATCGTTGCTGTAACAATAAAAGTAAAAATAAATTATTCAAAGCAATAGATGTCATATTTGAGTTTAGAAAAAAACACTGATTGGAATTTATCTTAATCACAATTTTTTTTATTTTTTTTATATGATACAATGCCCAACCAAAAAGATTTAAATCAGATTCATGTTCAAAGAGACAATGATTTCATATAGAAAACTAATGGAATTGAATTTATGTTGTGAAAACCTAAGATATAATATGGAAAACTCAAGATTTTAGAGGGAGGGGGTGTTTTCTTTTAACAATGACTGTATAAGACAAAGTCTGCTTCTTAGTAAAATACTAGCTCTACCTTCTGCAACTGTTGCTTCACACCTTACCTCCTCTTTTATTCATGTTTTTATTTCTTTAAATCCTTTCAATAACCCTTTATGTTATTTTCAGCATGTTTCTTCCGTTTGGATATTAACCTGTGTTTGACAATATTCTTTCTGAAGGTGAGGCTAGTGCGCTCCAATCCCCCTAGCCCGCAGTTCAAAGCCTCTTTCGACGCCTCCTACCAGGTGTACAAACTCTACCAGATCGTCATTCACAAGGATCCTCCTGAAAAACCCTCCGAGAGCCAGGTCAGAGAGTGGCGGCCATAGGTCAAACCTCATCTACCTTAGGGGGGAAGACAGAGGGGTGGTAGATCTATACTGTTTTATCTTATTTTCCTTTGATCCTTTAACATATAAACAAATCTGATGTCAAATTATCAAAATAAAAAACTGCAAAAAATGCAATTCAACTACATTAGAACATTTTAAATTTTATAAGATACATTAGGTTAGAAGATGCAATGTGAGCACAAAACGACCGCAACAGTTTCTATAAGAAAATATTTTCTTTAATGTAGTTGTCGTCATTAATAGAAAAAAAGCTTATCTGAACCAACCATGTTCTATGTAAAAATATAACAAATAACCTCACAGAATCATGAATGAACAGAGATTTCCCACAAAAGCTGAGCTCAGATTCATTTGTCACAGACAGGCCTGATTACAGCGAGCCCTGAGAAATCAAGAAATCCCTTAAATAGAAGCTGTCTGACCACATAGCGTAGGCTTTAAAGTCTTACGTAAACACCATCCCCTAAATGAGGCAAATCCAAGAACAGATAGGAAACACATTCGTTATTCTGGGAAGGGTTATACATCAGTTTTTAAGAATCTAAACCATAGAAACACGTTGTGATTAGGAAAAAGTAGTGAGTTTCCAAGTTAGTCGAAGCTCACATCAGCATCTTATCCAAGAGTTTAGAAAATAAGTTGGAACAACAAATAAACTCTGCAGGCCTGATTTATCTCAGTTCTAGCTAGAGTTAATGATTCAACAATATGAGCGGGAGAAAGGGCAAAAGGTCATCCAGCTGACCAAAAATAACACAAAGGCACATCTGGTATGTAAGAAATGTATTTGGATCGATTGGTAAGTTCCTGCTACTTGTGACGCAAGGCTAATAAAAATCATATGGACATTCAAACATTCATGATTTCAGGTAATTGATTGAACCACAAACCCGTCGCTGTGGCTGAATTCAAATGAATCTGCTAAGAAGAATCAACTAAAAGTGCTCCACAGCCAGAGGGGGATTTACCATTAGGCAATAGTAGGCAGCTGCCTAGGGCCCCAAGTTCCCGGAGGCCCCATAAAACTCTGTTTACATGTATGGTTAATGCAACTATTCCTTATTTGTGCACATTAATTATGTTTTTGATAAAAATCCTTTCTCTAAAATGTCATCAGAACGCTGATAATATTAAGTGTGTCTAAGCCCCCCCTTCAGTGTCCACCATATTGGATCAGTCCATTTGCTGCACATGTTCAGAAAGGTCCAAACAGACAGCAGCAAACCATTTGAAAACAAACCATCCAAAGAGCAGTGTTGCCAACTTAGCGCTTTAGTCGCTATATTTAGCCACTTTTCAGACCCCTCTAGCACTTTGATTTCTAAAAAGCTCCTAGCGCCAAATCTAGAGACTTTTTTCTGCTACTGGAGACTTTGGAGACAACATCTAAAAGCAGCGAACTCTGCTCTCCAGAGCAAGTAGATTGGTAACCCCGCCTCCTGCTCTCCTCTATCTTGTCTGCTGTCATGATTCATGCAGCTATTATTTCATCCAAATGAAAAATGGAGAACAGATTAGCAGATCATGGCTTGTCTACAGTGAAAAGAAGGACTGGGTTATTTACTTTGGCCTTTTTGGAAACACAGGAAGGAGCAATCAGCTAAGTGAGCTTAGTGCTTGGAAAAAATCTTTCATTCCTTTAGAGACAGCATGAAAAGTCAGCTGAGTACAAAACATAGAGAGGAAAACAAGAAGAGAGGGACGAAGAAGAGAGGGACAAAACCTAGAACAGATAATGGATGTCTATTCTATTAACATTTCTCTATATGTAGAATGGGGCTGTTTTATGTGTTGTCTTCTCCATTCAGAGGGCCCCCTGCCTGTCTTTGCCTAGGGCCCCAAATGTCCTAAATCCGCCCCTGTCCACAGCATTATATAAACTGATTGATTGCCAACTGTTCCATACATAGTAGTTGTAGCCAACAAGGGTTTCACTAGCACTGACTTGTAAGGGGAATCCCTTGTTCACATTGAGCCAGGTTGGTTTGGATAACTTTTTATCTCTTGATAAATGTAATCATAAATTAAAAACTTCTTATTTAAACAAATAACCTTTTTTTTTTATTATCTATATTTGTATGATGATGTTAAATATTTAGGTGTGACAGAGAAAAAAAAAGTCATTGTTGAGAGATGTGGTGTCTAAAGCTGTTTCAGTGCATAGATGCAGTTTCAGTTTAAAATCGTCAAGCTTTGCTAAATAATCTTTCTTATCCAACTGGAGTGTCGACTGAGCTTTAAGAAAGGAGAAAGGTGATCAGAATTTAAAATCCCTGGCAAGTGTAGTCACCATGATTCATTTTTTAAGGATTTTTTTGTTTGTTTTTGGTCTCTGGAATCGTATAAGATGATGTTTAGGTCCGTCAGAAGTGATGCGTCAAGAATATCTGCTGTCCTGGACCCCGACACCGATTACTTCAGGTTTCCGGTCATCTCTGAGCGATTTGAGTCAAAAACTGGGTAGTGCACTAGCCTCACCCTCAAGTTTCTTATCAGTCTCTTAGAATCTAATTTCAAGCTTCCATAGATGTGCTTTGTGCCAAACTTGGTCATTCAAAGAAGTGGAACTGCTTGAAAGCCTGCTTGAAGGACTAAGAGACTGTTCTCCTTCTGTCTGAAGACATTGAAGCCCTTGTTTGCTAACTGTACATGCCTTCGTTCTTTGTTGGTTTGTTTTCTACTGTTCACCACCTTGGAATTCAATGTAAATCTTCATAAACCCCAAACCCCTCCTCCTTGTCCTCTCCACACCTTGTGCTTGAAGGTGAGGCTAGTGCCGGTGAACTTTGAGGACCCCCAATTCGCTGCGTCCTATCAACAGTCAGTGGCACTGTACGCCCGCTACCAGATGGCCATCCACGGTGATGACCCAAGCGCATGTAGTGAGACTGAGGTACTGCATGATTATTATCTCGCACAGTTAATAGGAAGTCACTGAATCTTTGCAGCAGTATCCTACCGTTTTTAATTTACCTTGTAGATTGTTATTAAAATCAGACATTTTAATTAGATCAAACTACGATCATTATTGTATAAGGCATCATAAATGTTGTCTGTGCCGACAGGGAGGTAATAAGAAGGTGACAGACTTCCCTGTAAGCAGTTTGGTGAAATTATCATCACACTGTTCATTGTAAAATTAGCCTAGTTTGTCTTTTCATGCAAAGCAGGAAAATCCTTGCCTGTTTATTTGCATCTTTGGTAGAAATGTTCAAAAAAAAACAAATGAAATGGATTAATCTCTTAATACAGTGTTGTCAAAGACTAGAAAAACTGGGAGGTAAAAAAACAAAAAACATATGGTTTAGGTCAGAGAAGAGCATGGAAGGAGATGCAACAGGTTTTGGATCATTGTCTGGATGAGAGACCCAAGGACGACCTGATATGAGGAAGAAATTCTGTCTTAAAAAAGCTTACATTGTTATTGAGGTTAAAGCAGCATGAGGTTTTTTAGGCCTTTTGAAGGGAGACAACCCTCGTAGCGTCACAGACCTTCCATCACACTTTTTCTAGAAATTCATATTTTGTTGTAAATCTGACCTTTGCCACGTTTTATTTAGTTGAAAACATGGCATTCTTACTCCACTGAATAACATACTCTTTATTTAGATATTTTTTTTATTTGTTCAGTTTGAGATGATGCTGCCGCAGCAAGAGATCAGTTTATGTTGAGGCTTTTAAAGACCTCTATCAGGGACAATAAATGGGGCTTGTTAACTTAATTAGATTACAACATAATGAAAAAAGGAGAATCATTTTGTAATTTTGTGGTATGTATGTGTTTAAGTCTCATGTTAAAAGTCTAGAAGGTTTATCCAGTGTGGAGAAAACCCATCCAGCCTAAGTGGGGCCTCTGTCCCTCTTGGGTGGAAAACCACCTTCATCCACCCTTCTGCCAACATGCTGCAGTAAATATACTAAATTCTCCTGCTTGTAAAAGTAAGGTAATTAATAATGGAGGCTGTCAGTTTGGGCAGACTGTGTCAGATTCCTTTCTGGTGCCATAACACTACCTCTTATAAAAGGTAGCTTGTTTTAGTAGCCTAAACTCCAAATATATATAACATAAAGGTGTGGAGCTGCATCAGTGACTCTGCTCCCTGGAGGTTTTCCACACAGAAAGTTTTTTTTAACATTTATTTAATTGGTATTCCATGCTGGATATGTTCTGAATAAAGAGGTTTATAAAAGCGTAGGTTGGACTGGGCTTTAATCACTTTTATAAGCACACCTATTCATTTTAAAGATGGATACCAGCCTGAATTGTAACATTAGTTAAAAAAGAAAAAAAGCACAAGCTTTGTATGAGACCATTCATTCTGTGTCATAACATGTTCCCACTTTAATTGGTAATACGTGTTTTAATCTGTCTTTCCATTGCGGGAAAAGTTTTTCCATGAACCAGGGTCGATCTCTGGATCAGAGGAACAAGTTTAGCAAAGTAGAAAGTTATGTCAGAAAATATCTCCATTAGAGGGAGTTATTTTTGTAGTTTTTCCAGCAAAGGTCCAGGATTTAAACACCTGAAGTCCGAATCGAGGACTAAGGCCTCTCTACATGGGTCGCACATGAACTAATGAATAACTTTTGTGTTGCTTCTCTGAAAGATAGTTTTAATTCTTGGATTCATTTACTAAAAGGTGTGAAAAAATTGTATGCAGAGAAAAGCTATTTAAAGAAAGTGCAAAGGAATTTGAGCTGCAATTTAGCAAACAAAACATGCAAATTTTTTTGCATGTGCGCCTTCATCAATATGTCTATCGATTCTTATGATCAAATATAAACTCTTACCTCATGCAAAGTTTTAATACGATTTGCATAAGCAATTTTTGTGGTGCAAAACTTTGATTTATTGTGTTTAAAGTTCTTTTGCACAAGCACTTCTTTGGAATCTTTGAAGCTTATACTGTTAGGTGTATTTTACTTGGTCTGTTTTTGACCATTACACATTTAAAAATAAAGACAATGCCTCTAAGATTTGTTTTTTTAGCAACGTGTAATGCCACCTTGTTTTATGACATATTTGTACCAATACAAATCATAGCTCTCAGAGAAATCTTAATACTGTTTGAGTAAAACTGCTGTAAAGTGTAAAATTCAGCTGACATTAAGCTTAATTCAACTTATTTCATTCTGTTCATTCATTATTTGTTATATTTTGGAAATCCTGGGGTAATAATTTAATCAAAAAAGCTTTATTGGCAAAATGTTTTCAGTGTACAAGGATTTTTTTTCAGTGAGAAGTTGCAACACAAAGACAAGCAAACATGCAGTCGACATAAATAACATAACATATAATTTGGAATAAACAGATAAAGGTCTGTATAAATGTTATTAGAGTAGAGAAGAGCATTGCAGCCTTTTGGTTTTTGGTTGTACATCACTAGAACCTGTTGGTTGTGGTGATGTGCAGTTCTGGAGGGAAGGATTATTTCAGCTAACCGCCTTCTATGCAGAGAAGGTCATCGAAATTATGAAGTATTGCAAGGCTGACTTTTATAACAAATCATGCATTAAAAGAAATTGTTTCCAAGTATTTGTATTAATCAGGTTGCTTGAAAATTCATGTAATTGATTGCATCAGTGAAATGTAGTTACGTTTGTTGCAGTTACCTATGCATCTTGGCTGCATATTTTGCAACATGGGGTTAATTTAACAAAACATTTAAATTTGCACAACTAATTTAAGATCCAATACAGTTAAAACTTCACACGTCAGATGACTTGACTTAGCTTTTTTAATGTAACCTGAAGGAATCGACCACAGATACGTACCTGCTGTACTGGTACAATTTTACAGTTATTTATTTATTTATTTTTTTAATCTAATTTTGGATTCTGATTTAGATGATAAACCATATCCTTAGATCAGTGGTCATGTAGAAAAGAAAAGTGTTGGCAAACAACAGCAAGTCTTCCTGTTGCAAAACTGTTACAGATTTAGCAAAACCCACTAAGAGAAAACAACTTCCAGTTTGCATGCAGACCTGTTTTCCATTTCGGACCACTAGTAAAATTGAATCACTTCAGCCCTTATTGATGCCACTTGGTCGAAGCGGTTTCATATGTTTGTTTTTTTAAGAAACATTTTTGGACCAAGTTTGACAACAAATTATAATGCATACGCAGTCTAGAAAAAAAACGATGCAAAATGGTGAAAATTTCATGTTTTTTTCCCCCCTCAGATCAAGTAAATAAGGAAAAACTAAAAATATCAACTGTTGAATTGTTTTTATCTGAATACCTAAAAAATGTTTTTAAAGGGAAACTGAAATTTAGTTAAGTCTTAAAAAAAAAAAAAAATAATAGAAATTTGACATAACTCTCCACATAAGAAGTTCTTTTAAAGGTATTTTCTGTTGCTAGTCGATTTTTGTCAGATGTTCTTGGTAACAGTTAGTCTGGTTTTAAACCGAGAGTTGCTGCAGCGTGCCAAATGAAATTAATCCTATCAAAACTGGGGAAGTTTTTAGACACGACATCCTAACAGAAGGAAGCATTATGTTTGTGTAAGTATGTATACATTTCCTGGCAAAGCATAACTGGAAAATGACCATAAATATTTCCCTCTTAATCTAATATTAGGTTCCTGACAGAGTTTAAGGGAACACCAGTAATTATTTGCATAGACACGCATGCATACACAAGTCCAAAGAGTCAGTTGCTTATTGGTCTTTGCTGTTTCACTGAGGCATCACTCAGTACCTGCACATGTGGCAATAATTTTCAGAAAAAATAAATCATCTTACATCTGCGTTCGATGTAAACAAAGACCCCTGAAATAATGTCTGGGAAGGATTTGAAAAGAGCTGTTAAAAAAAAGGGGAAAAAATAACTATTTACAGCTTATTCATGCACAATAAAGACATTCATCTGAACTGAGCCACCAGTCTTTTGCTGTAATAGAGATCTTTTTTACCCACTCATGGCATTCCAAGTTTCTGCAACTTTCTTGAGCTTTGCGTAGCTAGTAAAGGTTTTTTGTCACTCAATAAGAGCTGCAGTTTGATTGTGCGAGATAACACTGAGAGGCTGAAATAGCAATTAGGCTTAAACAGATGTGTTTGTATAAATGCACCGTATTTGTAAAAGAACACAAATGTGTGCTTGCAATGGCTGCTTGGAAGCCTTAATTGTACACAGATGGGTGTTTACTGTAAGAAAGGGAGAGTTGGAGAGGAAGAGATGGGATCCATGTGTGGATGGACACCAGGATGTTCCAACAACTTTTTTTTGGAAGGACTTTGATGTTTTTATGAAAATGGAAGTAAAAGTTGTTGTGGGTTGGTTGTCGTACAGAGGCTGAGACCTGTGCATTTCCATACTTGGGTTTACCAAATATCTTGCACATCCATGTGGTAAAAAAAGAGATGAACTGAGGCCGAATTCCATGTATACATGAAAGGTTCCTTATATTTAACAGCTAGGACTGGTTTACTAAACTTTACATGACAATTAAACCGTAACTTTAACTTATGAACTTCAGTCTCACTTGCATACATACCGCAGACAGTAATTCTTGCAAAGCCCCAATAAATGATGTAATCTAATAACTGCAGCTGTTGTCCCCTTGGTAAATCAGATATTTTATTCTCTTGGTAAATAAACCTTTATTTTATTAAGTTTTATTTGTTCCTTTTAGCTATACTGCACACAGGACGCTTTACACTTGGTATTTTGACTGGCAGAAGGAGTGGAAGATTACACTTCACCTGCAGCCTGAGTCGCTCTTCTGCAAATGAGCAGAGATCATAGCTGATCTATAGAATAAGACTCTAGGATTTCCACATTCCAGATGCTGTTCAGAAAATTTTTAAATGTGCCTAATTTCTTTGAGTTCAGACAAATGTAGTGTGAGGAAAGAGTTTGACAAGGGCATAAGCGCTTCAAAAGTAATAGATGGATTTATTAATGTCACTGCTGCTCAGTCTGCTCTCTTTTGGATAACTTATCACTTTTGGCAGCTAATAAACTTGGTCATTATGTTACCTTTCAGTGTGAAACAGCTTTGGACAACATGAAGCCATATCACTCAATGAATTATAGCTTTTGTTTGAAAATTTTAATCTCCACCTTTTGTGTACCATATCTTGCTGTTTATCTCTGAGCTAGACATCTTACGTAATTATAAAAAAAGATCCTTATAAAAGTCCAACATTTCAATACTTAACATTTTTAAACGACAAAGATTGAAGGATGCAGAGTTTGTTGTCTTGCCTTAAGCTCCACACAACTGTAAACACGGCACTCTTAACTCCTCAACTAAATGGAACCACTGGAAATAGTATAGATAATAGACCAAAGATGTATATTTCCACAAACACAGAGCTCCACTTTAATTGATATCTGCTGTGCAGTTTAACGTGTGTTGAGAGACAGACTTCTGACGCTGGCATTGCTGCTTATTTTAGCTGTCATTGTGTCCTTCTCTAGATAACAAGCCTCGGCTGACGGGGTAAATGTTTTCATTTGTGTAAATAAAGGCTTCTTTTATGCCTGCAGTAAATGGAAGGCAATGTGATGCAAAAGCCAGGAGAAAATGGTAATGGATAAACAATATAGGACCACAAAGGAGATGTGTATGGTTTTCATTTGTGCCTATTGAGAAGAGTTGATGACCCAAAGAGCTAACTGTTTTTTTTTTTCCCTCTTTCCTTCCCTCCTTTTGATTCCTTCCTCAGTTCCGGAGATTTCTTTGTGATTCACCACTAGAGGTATGTATTTCCTTTTACCTGCTGGCATTTTAACAGAAATGTCTGTATTCTTCAATATGTGTTACAGCTAGCTAAACCTACTTTGATGGTTTAGCTTTAAGATGTAAGACTTTTTATTCTCACGGAAATATGGATTAGAAAACAGGAAAATTCCAATGAAAACAACTGTACACTTTTCCTGGCCTGCCACATATGTTCCCTTTGCTCGCTCTCCTGATGAGCCCACAGCAGGATCGACTGGGGTTAAGGTATTCAAGGAGGGGATTCTGTTTCATATGTGGGGGTTTAATTTAGTCTCACCTAAAGGGGGAAGAAACACAGAGAAATGTGGTCTGCAGACTGCATTATTTTAGCTGAAGGACCTCAGGAACCTTTTGACCTGTACAGCAGAGAACATATGCGCTCCAATGCATCGATTTTTTTTGTGTGCATCAGTTTAGGGACTAAGATTCCAGCGCAAATATATGCATTCATGATGGGCAAGAATGCAATGTTGATTTAAAGTTGTAAAAAAAGAGGCATTTGAATTGTTGTTCTTACAGAGAAGAATTATTACACAAACTTTAATCATTTACAAAAACTGAAATGGATGCACAAGTTGAAATTGATGAAGAATTCTTTAGAACCCTAACATAATCAAAATTGTACACATCGAAACAAACAAATGCTGATATTATTTTAAATAAGCAATTTGCAGAGAAACCTATGTCGTAGTCAGGAACAAGATCCTAGCATCATTCTTGTTAGATATTTCACCAGATTGGAAGAGTTCATTGAAATTTTTGGGTTTCCAACAGCTTTAAAAGTCAGGGTTTTTAAGGTTATTTCTGAATCTTGATCACAGCATGCTCTACCCTTTCCATAGAAAATTTACCATTGGTTTGGGTTAAATGTCCTGTTGGAAGTTTGCATGTCAAGTAGGGATGCACGATATAATCGGCCCCCTATCGGTATCGGCCTGTATTGGCCTTAAAACTGAATATCGGACATCGGCCACCCCACCGATATTTAATCCGATATTTGATCAGCTTCTGAGTTTCTAAAGTCTAAAAAAAAAAAAAAAAATACTACTACTTCTTCTTCCTCAAACTTCTTTTTTACTGACTTAAAAACTTCTCAAGACGAGGGAAAAAATATTGATACATTAAAATATCACAATATCTTCATATGCTGATATATTGCCATTTAAAAACACCATATCAATCTCTTTTACTAATGAAATATTGCTATATGTCATCGTTATGCTACGAAATCCCCCGAAAATTCACGAAATTTTGCCATATTTTTATATGTTGATATATTGACGCGGTATCGATCTATTTTACTAACAAAATCTCACAAGAATTTGCAAAATATCACGAGAGTTTGTAACAGAACGATGATCACGAGATTTTGAAAGTAAAATAGATCGATACCGCGTTTTAAAAAATCTATTTGATATCAGCATATGAAAACATATTTGAGTATATTATTTTTCAAAGTGTCAGAAATGAATAACAAAACTGCTATTTTCAATGACTACTTATTTTTGTCCAGCTTTAACATCGGTATCGATATCGGTTATCGGCTACATGAGTTTTAAAATATCGGCATATCGGATATCGGCCAAAATCCCAATGTCGTGCATCCCTAATGTCAAGTTTTAAGCTTATACTTGTGTTAGAAAAACAGGATCTTGAAGAATTTGAAGATGGTTCTTCCCTCTTCGTTATTCTGTCAACTTCATCCAGTGCACTGTTAACACTGTCAAGAAAATGCTCCCTCGGAATGATTCAACTACCACTATGTTCTATAATTGGAGAGTTTTCTTACTTTTAACAATTTAATCTCAACTCATTTATACACACTTTTTGTCATTGTGACTGCGTAGATCAGTCAATATGCAACACCGAATCCATTGTCTGCTTAGTGTTATAAATGATTAAAGTTTCATTCGCTTTAAATAGTAGCTCTTTAGGTTATTTAGATTTAGGTAAAACAGCTAAAGTTGACTTAAATTGCAGAGTTTTTGGTTTTTCATGTGGAATATAAGACCAAGGATTTAACAGCAGACCAGGTGAGCACAGTCCATCAAAAACACCAGTGGACCTGGTGGGTCAGAACAATTACATCAACAATTAGACCCCAAGATGGGCACTTATTGCAGTCATTTTACTAGGTCTGAGGTCCAGAAGCACATTCGCACACAAACACAGTCACTCCGCTTTGTCCTGAGTGCCCCCTCAGGTCTTCACTAATGAACATCATTAGTGTTTATAGGAAACAAGCTTTTATCACCTCGTCAAAGCTGGCGACCAGGCACTCAGAATTACACAGTTCAGCACCCATACACATACGTGTTCACACTGTGGCACACTGCCTAACACATTTTTCTGCCTGGACTCTCTTCTTCTCCAAACGGCCATATCCTTTTCATTTAGCCTCCACTTGCACAACTTGGTTTTATTACTTTCTCTATCCAAGTGTTGAATTATCATGCATAAAAATCTTCACCACTCTGCGTGTTGTTCTCCAGCTGTGTCTAATCTGAGAGCTATTAGAGTACATACAGACGCTCACCACATGGACCTCCAAACGGTGTGGTTCAGCTCACATGTAAGGCTGCATTTATAAAAGCATTTTGCAAACTGCAGTTACAAATGCAGCTATAACTTTCTGACTTCTGGCTGCGTTTAATGTCATCCGAATAGCAGAAGATTCACTCTAAAAATCCAGGTAGTTAACATCACTTGGATTTTTTTTTTCTCTGTTTTTGCAGCACTTTTAGAGAACACACTGGTGCAATGATACCAACAGTGGAAACTTCACTTTCTACAGAATGCAATAAAAGGCAACAGTGCTATGTTTAGCATGTTAGAAGTGGCTTCAATGTTATAAGTTGGACTGGGCTCAACCCTTTCTTTATATTGTGCTTGTTTATTTCTTTAGCTTTTTTTTAATGTGTCTGTCTGGGTGATGATTGCTGGATAATTGGGTTTGTAGATGATAAATTGCAAAACATTGTTTTAGTAATATCCTTTGTACTTTTTTGGAACCTGGTCTAAAACCTCAGTAAAAAGACAAAAAAATCACTCAAGTATTTTTAGTGAGAAATCATCTGTAATTGTACCTGCAGTTCACCTTAAGGATTCCTACATATTTTTAAAAAGTATTCAGTCTTTCCTGATTGATTAAGTATGGACAAAATAGAGCTAAATTTGGAAACTATTCGAAATTTCTGGACATGCATTCCAAAAACAACATTTTCAAATAAGCCATTTATTGTTTTATTTTGAAATTTTGTCTTTCATATTCTGACATTCTGTATTTGAAATGGTTGATTACCAGTCCTATGCCAAACTTGATGGCAAAATGAATAAATAATAGGGATGTATCTAGATAATTTGCCTTGGGATGTACCTCGATAATGACCCATAGGTCTAACCATTTTATATAGTCATAAGATGAATGTGTGTAAGGGTCGTCTATATTTAAAAAGGATTTTGATCTATTTCTAGTAAGCTTTAACCTGCCACAGTCAACTTTAATCATATTAAAAATGATTAACAAACTAAAAAATTGTGGCTAGTAAAAATGCTGAGTGACTTGTAATTTGGAACTAGCCCAGTGGCTGACGATCAAAAAAGCCCTGAATGTCCCTCAGAGATGGTGCAGGGCAGTAGATCTCAAGGACTGAATTTGGATGCTCCTGCTGATGCCGATTATACTAGTCCCCAATTTGTTTTCAGGATATTTGAAGTGTTTAGATTATGATTCTGAGTCTGTTTATTTCTTTCCTCCCTACCAGGATTGCCTAAAGATAAAAACTCAATAAAACCAATCCAAACAACTTAGCTGTGTTTGTAAAGCCTTTCTGGTATCTTCTGAAGTAAAATACATGAGTTTTTCACCAGTTCAGTAAAATACCCTCAAAGGCAGAGCCAAATTAAAATCCTCTGATTTAAAAATAACATTAGAGCTGCAGAAGAATGATGAATTTTAGAAATGGGCTATCTGTTGTTTAAGCTTAAATGAACAGCGGGAATGCCTCTTTAGAAAAAAAAAATTGTTTGATTATTGAATAATTTCTTGCATGTTTTTTGGTAGCTTCTCTGCCTTCATTTTTATTACACGTGAGTCTGGAAAGGGCTAATTTTAAGCTGTCATGCAGTAGAGTGAGCTGTTATCAGCGTGACCTGGTACCACTTAGATATGGTACCACTCACTGGAAATAGTTTACAATTTTGAGTTTCCAGCTGACTGGCATCCAGTCAGAGCCAGCCAGCCTTAAAATCTGCTAATTTACATAATCAGACTGTTGTTTTTCCGCGTATGTACACACAACTTATTCTGGTGAAATCTTGCATTAAATAAAAAACAACTTTATTTTAAGCTTTTCTCACAAATGAATGCCTCTTCTCATTCTTTAATGTGCAATTATCAGTTTAAATGCAGGGTGACCCCATTTGGGTGAACAGGTACTACCTTTCCTGAACTAAAGTGTAAAGAATAAACACACAGAGTGTATTTACAATAGTTACTTTGGTAAATTTGGGTAAATAAAGTAGTTAAAATATTACTTCTGTTGCACCTTTCAAGATATCCTATGAAGATGAACAGAGCACACAGGCCTTTAGCAATAGCTGATGCCTTGTTAAACTTATTTATTTATATTTTTTTTTTATGTGAAACAACCATTAGGCCTTGATCAGATGGCCTTAGGGACCTGCTAGGGTAGGGGTCTGCAACCTGCAGCACTGGGGCTCTTTGGTCTCTCTACAATGGCTCAAAATGATATAGAGTCAACTAATAGTTTTGGTTAAAGTGTATTTGAAAAATAGCATTTTTTCAAGGTTAAACAGTTTAAATAAAATACATGTCATTTTCGCTACAGCATGACATTAAACAAACAGGAATATGTTTCTAGGTCTATATTTCTTGTCATTAACTTGGAAACTATATGTTTATTTTTAAAATAAAATATCATATACAACAAAATCAATGATCAATGTTTACTCTTTATGAAACTCAGGTTTTTTCCTAATATCAAAAAATAAAGCTAAAATTAACCATTGTTTAAAATGGCAACAGATTTCCTATCACAGATATTTAGAAACTTAAAAAAGTGTATTTTATTTAAAATTCATGTTATATATGTGGCTCTGAATAACTTTTATTTAGCCAGGCTCTGAGTAAAATGGCCCTTTGGGGATTGGCCGCCTAGTGGTTAGGGCACAGAGCTTTGAATCCTGAGGTTTCGAGTTAAAGCCCCACTCCCACAGACTGCCACTCTGGGTCCCTGAGCAAGACCCTTCCCCCCACACTGCTCCCTAGGTGCCGTACAATGGCAGCCCCCTGCTCCCCAAAGGGATGGGTTAAATGCAGAGCGTTAATTTCATTGCTTTGTACTTGTGAGTGTATTCACAATAAACTTTAATTCTATTCTATTTGCATTAGAAAAGATGCAGACCCATGTAAACATTTGGAAATGTGAGCTGATGCTTTACCATTCAACATCCTGTGATGAAGTTAACTGGTAGAGAAGACCTTTTTATATTGGTATTTTTTCAATACTTTAAATTCACATTTTATAATTAAAAACATTATAATCACCAGGATCTGAAGTGAATGTATATTCTCTAATTTAAAGTTTAATCATTTTTGTTCAGCTAATATTATTTCAGAAGAGATTTAAAGGTTGAAAAATGTCCCCCACCTCTTCACCATGTTTTGTTGATGTGATCTTGTGTTTGAGCCATATGAGAGTGATTTGGGGCTACTGGGGAAGCTGAGGTGGTTTGAAGTGTTATGGGTAATGTTGAGATTGTTGTCACAGTGGCAAGGACACAACCATTAAGCTGTCGTCTGAGTCAGTAGATGGGTCAGAGGAGGTCCAAAGCAAGCTCAGCAATCTTACTAACATTATGGCTAACACAATAAAGCTTTTACATTATTTCAGCAATATTCACAGTTGTATATTTTCCTCTTGCATGTTTACTCCAGGTGGGTTAAATGAATGCTCTTGTGTTGTTTTCAGTTACCTACAGCTGTTAAATGACAGAGTAGGGTCTCTGACAAAGAGTCCAATGTTTCTGGAGTAACTGGTGTCTGATAAAAACAAGCTGTTATATAATGTTTGGTCTGATTGGCATAAATGGTGTTCTAAGGTTTTCATAGCTGTGAGTCCATTGGTCTTATTTGTAGTAACCAGTTATATTTAAGAAAACCATCAGCCTTCTGGGGTCAAAGAGCTGCAGGGAAGGTGTCTCTCAGACTGTGCCTCATTTCTTTTTGGCAAGTTTTAATTTGGTCAGAATGCGGCCCCGTTGGATCCCCAGATTACTCAGTCAGCTCTCTGTGTTGTGATAACTGGCAGTGTCTGCCGCTTAACTGTGTCCAGATGAATGTCGGCTAAGGAGCCGGATCCTGTTACTAGCGCGCCAAAGAAAGACACACACACACAAACGTTAAACCTCTGCTCCAGCTTGACGTGACTTTTAACCCTAACCCTAAGCCTCTAGTCTTAAACCGACGGCGATAAAAGCGATAAAGTAGTTTGAGTGAAAAACCCAGCATGCCGATTCTTATGAGAAACGGTGTGTCTGTTAAAACCTCAAGTGTTTAGTTAATGGGATAGAGTCAAGCTCAGGGGTGCACACCTACACCCACATTCTTTTGTGCCACATGGAATGAGCAAAAGCAGATATATAGTAGAAAGCCTGGCAGCACGCCACAACCACATTGTGGAATGGGCTTTGCTCACGCAGGTTCTTTTATTAAAAAGCTCTCTCCTGGAGAGTTTCTGTGGTCGGTCCCTCACATCGCCCAGCGGTAACCCCTCCTTGCTCTAGCTTTCACTCCACATTTAGGAACCATTAGCAAGCTAAACGGGAGGCTACTGTACACACCCTCTCATAATACACAAGGCTTGGCTGAGAAATACAGCAGTAATAATACACCATTATACAGTAAGTGTGTTGTATGGACCCTCTATGAGTTTAAGATTTTATGTTGGAACTTTATTTCATACAGACGCAAAACGTGATCTGAGTAAATGACCCATTTTTAGGGCTTTTTTAACAAAACATTTTTGATAGAAATGTTTTCTGTTACTGGGTGAAATTAAAAAAGTTACACTTTAAGTAAGGACATTTAAAGGAATAGTACACCCAAAACATGATTAGCCTTCATTTTCTACTCACCCCCATGCTGAACAACACTCTGGAGTACTTTTTTGATATCTCAAATGCATCTGGAGATCTGGGAGGCTTCTTGCTGTCTGCTGACAATCAAATAATTGAGGTCTATGGTGCCCGAGGCAGAAAGGTCCACAAAAAACGTGTCAATATTCCTCCATACTGCTCGTCCAATGTATTCCAAGTGTCCTGAGTGGGTAGCGTCCATAATTTACTCGAAACGAAGTCATTTAGAATGTTTTTAGAGCATAAACAGTAGTGTATAGGATTTCCTAAAAGCGCGTTCACGAGTCTACGGAAACCGCTGCAGACCAAACCAGATGAAAGTGCGCATTCAGCGTTTGCTCTGCCGATAATGCAAGCGTAGAAGAAGAAATGTGCTGTTTACCTGTGCAAAGAAAGAAACAACGAAAGAAAAATGTCTGAGGACTTCAGTGTTGAGGAAGAGCATGAGTTCTTTGCCGAGCTGAATGCGCACTTTCGTCTGGTTTGGTCTGCCGCGGTTTCCGTAGACTCGTGAACGCGCTTTTAGGAAATCCTATACACTACTGTTTATGCTCTAAAAACATTCTAAATGACTTCGTTTCGCGTGAATTATGGACGCTACCCACTCAGGACACTTGGAATACATTGGACGAGCAGTATGGAGGAATATTGACACGTTTTTTGTGGACTTTTATGGACCTTTCTGCCTCGGGCACCATAGACCTCAATTATTTGATTGTCAGCAGACAGCAAGAAGCCTCCCAGATCTCCAGATGCATTTGAGATATCAAAAAAGTACTCCACAGTGTTGTTCAGCATGGGGGTGAGTAGAAAATGAAGGCTAATCATGTTTTGGGTGTACTATTCCTTTAAGGCAGTAGTTTTGTGATTTAAAAGAGGTTGTAGTTACTTTTATAGCATTATGAAATTGGTCACAAATGACTGAAAAGGTCAGTCAGGAGGTTGGGGTGCGATTTTGGGGAGTATGAAAATTTTTAATAAACTTAAACTTGTAAGAAAAGTTTAAGAACCGCTGTTCTGGTCAGAGCTCAGACAAAATCCATGTGAGGTTCACCTCCAAAAATAAAAACTTAGGTAAGGAAGACAGATATGTTTAAGGGTTGTAGAGACATACCCTTAAAGGTATATCCAACTGTAACACTTCAAGTAAATATTTGTCAGAATGGTTTAAAATGGTCTCAAACATTAAATTAATACCTTTTTTCAGACAATCCAACAGAATTACTAACGAACTAACATACACAACAACATTACTAATATACACAAACATTATTTATGTGCATAGTTTAGTCTTTATGCCTGACAAGGGGTATAAAGAAGTGAAGCTTATTCTGACCGCTTCTCCTTCATACAGCCCTTAATATCAACAATTATCACCACTCCTACTCACAGGTTCATACTATTCCAATAGTTAATTAAGTGAGCAAATGCATTGGGTTTGTTGTTTTACTTTCAATTCACAATTATGAATAGCTATTGGTTGGTTGTAGAAGTTGAAATAAAAAACAGCAGAAACAATCCCCGTCAATTTCTAGATTTGACATTCAAGTTGAATTATTTCTTGAATTAAATTGTATGTCTTTGTTTTTTGTTTTATTTCTCTAGGCAGAACAGTCTCCCGATGGACCAGAGATGGGATACGGTTCCTTCCACCAGCAGTACTGGCTGGATGGACGCCTTGTGGCAGTGGGAGTGATTGATATCTTGCCTACCTGTGTGTCTTCAGTCTATCTGTACTACCATCCAGACTTTGCATCGCTTTCTCTAGGGTCATACTCTGCTCTCAGGTCAGTAGCTTAAGATTTTTATCCTGTACACAAGATATTTCCGGCTACTAAGCTTAGGATGAAAAACAAACAACCAATCATTATGGCGGTTAACTTAATTTATTGATTTCTCTTCTTATTCCCTCCTCCTTTTCCATCTCTCAGCTGCATTCCTTCTGTTTCTTCTTTGTTTGTTGACCTCAGCATCAGATCATATGTTCTGTAAGGCTTTAGATAAAAAAAAAAAAACACCTTTCTTCACAGTTGATTGGTTGCGGCAGTGCTCTGTTTGTGCTTCAGCCGATGACAGTTCTCTCCTCCAAGCCTGAATATAAGAGCACACTCACACACTATGGGCACACACATCCTGCATTTCCTATAAGATGTAATTCAATAATGTGAGAAAGGCTTTTAAAGATATTTTCAGCGTGTTTAGGTGTCGTACTATGGGTTTCGGGTGTCCAGGCAAATGTGCAGATGTAATCTTGCTCTAAATCAGCAAAGCAGAGGTCAAAATATTTGCAGCTGCCTGTATAGAGGGAACTCCCTAGTCATCCTGAGCTCATAGTCCCCCATCACTTATTTTTTAAGGGCCTGAGTCAAAGAGTAACACAGATTACTCTGTGTGGAGGAGGGAGCCAGCAGCACTGAAATCCTCCCACTTGTTTATAGACACCAGAGTCTGCGCCTTTGATCTGCTCTGGGCGCTTTCTGTTCCCCCTCTGTCTTCATCTTGCTGCTCAGAGTTCAGATGCTCTTTAATGCACTTTTTACTTATTAAACAGAAATTGAGATTGACATTAAAGGGCACTCAACTAGTTTAGAGAGCATCCCATGCAGACATACTGCAGGTCCTGTGATCCATTTCATTTTCCAGCCGTCTGTCCTCCATACTGTTTCTCACTACTTGAAGTCACTACTGATTAATGCAGGTTAGTAGTTTATTAGAAAACTGAGCAGAGATGTTTTCTGCATTCTTAATCTGTAATCTTTACTTCATAAGTTTAAGAATAATGATTCAATAGATGGATAAAAAAACTTAGTCACTACCCTTTATGTGCGATCTTCTGCTCTCTCCATTTTCAGGTCAGATTTCCAGACTAGTGGCAATAAGATCTCTAATTGACAAAACATATTTTTTAGATCACAGAGGAACAACATTTTTAATAATTTACAGTTAACAGGGGTAAAACACCTTCTCACTCCAGCCCTGTAGGTGGTGGTAATGCGCTTAGAGTGGGTTTGCTGCCACACAGAAGGGAAGAGAGCGTTGTAGCTGGCGCGCCAATACATGCAAACTAGAGGGACACGCTTTTCCACATATCAGTAACAGTAAAGTCCTTCAACAATAGAGGCTTTAAAAGTAATAAAATAAAATGTAATTGCAACATTGGTTTGTAAAATGTAGATTTTTTTTGCTAAATTGTTTCACCCTGGTGGGCATAATAGGCAGTGTCTTACTCAAGCTTTCATACTAATGTTTTAAATTTGAAAAGTTTGTCCTGCTTTTTTATTTAGCCCCCACATCACGATTCTCACTTTATAATTTCAGTTCAGTAAAATTGAAATGATGTCTTTTAGTTTTTAGAATGAGATTCTTTCACATACAAATCAGGGCTGCATCCCGCTCCTCATGGTATGCAGAGTTTTATTTCCTTTGTGTGCTTATGCACATCAGTATGAGGGAAGCAGTTCAGGAGCAGAGGCCTTGATAATTGGCTTGTGGTGGAGTGTCAGATGGCTGAAGAGGGGATAATGGCAGACTCAAGCTGCTGCCATTGGGCTGGAGGTGGGGGTGTGAAGGCCTCAAGTAAAGGGGGAAACATGGCTTTTTGTGAATGGGCACCTCCCCTCTCTTGACCCCCCTCATCCAATTCAGCCCTGCCGGGTCCTTTTGTAGTGAGGGGATGGGAACCCAGGAACCTGGCAGAAAGCGGGTGACCTTCTAGCACCTCGCTCTCCCTGCCTCTCTTCTCCATCTCTTTCTCTTTCTTGACCCTCCTCTTTTATATTCTCCTCCTGCTCTCTCGCTCCCTGTGTCTCCCCCCTTTCTCCCCTTGCTTCCTTTGTCCCACATCTTATTTTTCAGTGCATCTATTTTATTTTAAGGCCTCCTAAGCTTTGTAAGAAAGGGAGGTCTCCCCCTTCCTTTTAGCGGGTGAAGCACAGAGCACTAGAAGGAAGAGTGATACAAAAAGGGAGCAAAAAAGGGAACTAGAATTTAGCTATGGAAGAGCAAAGGAAATGGCTAATGGAAAGGGGAAAAATAGGCTTTGAGTAAAAGGATGCAATTAAGAAGGAAACTATTGAGGAAAAATAAAGACGTACTGTATTTAGAAGTGGTGCATAAATCTTGCAAGTCTTTAATCTTTATTTTACACGCTCCCTTCAGTTCCTTTTTCTCCATCTAAGGGGTTAATGCTGGTAGAGGAAAGGCGGTTGTTTTTGCATGAGTCCAAGAAAAGCAATCCTGTTTTACTGTGGGTGTTTACTTCCTGAGCTTTGGTGCTAGCAGTGTTGCTAGAAAAACTTTGTTTTTATTAATTCTCTCAGTATATAAGACCTTCATAGATGGACATTTATGAACAGTGCATTTTATTCCATTTGGGTTACATCAAGATTTTGAACAATTTTACATTTTTTCCTTGCTTGTAAAACATTTATATTAGTTATTTTGGACAGGGGCAAGTGTTAAGTTGGGAAAGACTACAAAGGTAAACATTGATATGCTGTGGTGTCCCTCGGTGGGCATTTTGGTTGCAAAAACAACATGGAAACCCAATAATACAAAGCAAGATAGGATTAAAATTCAACACGATTAAATTAAGATAGATGATCATTCATGAATTCATTGCTATTTCTTTTATTAGAACCTGATTCGATCTAACTATTAACAATAATGGTAAGGCTTTCCACATGCGGATCCCTGGTAGAAAGAAATGTGGAGACTACGGAGGTTTTTATGCTGTCTTAATATAATCTATATACATTTTCAGGAAACAGAAAATATTTGCTGCAGTTTTTTTTTTAGATGGCAAAAAAAGAACAGCTTTCAAAAGAAACTGAGGACAAAAAAAAAATCCAATTTGAATGATTTTTGTAAAATATTAAGTAAATAAAAGCTTCTGGTTTGGGTTAATATGTTTATATATTCAGATATTATACTTTGCTTCACCGTCTGCAACAAAACCAGGATAAGCTCCTTTGGTCAGTCGTCTTTTTCATACTTCATATTCATAGAACATGGTATTCATACAACTGAAAAACCTTTCGTCACTACACATTATCCCATAAACAGTAGCCTTTCAATAATCGAAATGAAATCATGATGAAAATGAGCACACATCATAGATTGACTTAAATTTGACTTATTCTTTCTCCATGTGGTTTGTTTTAGTGCATTGAGAATAGGGGTGTGCAAAATAATCGTGATGATGATGCATCGTGATTCTAATTTTCGTGATCTACTGCATCGATTCTTGATGCCAATTATCGATTATTAATTTTAAAAAATGAATAAATAAAATTGCATGAATGGTTGGCGAACATCAGCCAAAAACAAGTGTAATACAACTTCCAGTCCAGTACATGTCGCAGCGGATGTGTTGACACACGCTGCCTTGTGTCACAAGCATTTCCGGCAGCGGGATACTGTGCCGAGTCATTAAAAAAACAAAACATGGAGGAGAAAATATTGCAATGCATCGCAATAATTCAAGTATCGTGATGCATCGTGATAGAATCGCATCGTGGCCTGTGAATCGTGATTCGAATCGAATCGTGACTTCTTTGGCAATACCCACCCCTAATTGAGAATGCTTTCATATTTGTTGATCTGTTTTAATATTTGCTAACATATCTTTGGTAAATGTTATGCTTGCTGTATATGTGTATTTATTTGTTTTATTGTCTTTGTTTTCACCTCTATGGGACTACAGATTAAAATTAAATCTTGTGGTTAAATGTGGTGTATTTAGATGATAGTTTAATGTACTTGTGTTGATAAATGTCCACTGTCACATTATTAAATAAACAAAATTAAAAGTTTAAATCTAATCAGAATTAACTTTTTAAAAATGTTTTCTTAAACTCTATTCACATGTGTCCACCCTACAGGGAGATTGCTTTTACCAGGCAGTTGCAGAAGCAGTCGTCCAAGCTGTGCTACTACTACCTAGGCTTTTACATTCACTCCTGCCCCAAGATGCGTTATAAGGTAACTTGCACCACTGTACACAATCTTTTCCTCTGAAATATAAAGCTGCTCACTTCTGAACATAAAGTGAATTATTATCCTGCACAGTTGGTTTCATTTTGTTCTACGTTTACTTTTAAACATAACTCCCCTTTATCTTTTAAGATAAAAGATAAAGGGAGTTATGTCTCTGCTCAGGATTTAATGTAAACAGTGTGTCCAGTTACTGCTTTAACAATCTTTCTCAAAATGACAAACTTTATTTATGGGCAAAATGTGCATTTCAATGTTTTTACCCTTTGCAACAATTTCTCATTGAAAAGAAAGAAACACTACTGGTCTGTCTTGCTCGTCTAGTGACCTTGGATGATCACTACTTTTCCAGGTGCATGGTGGGAAATTTTGAGCCCACTACTTTTTCGTCCACTAGACATTCAGACACTCATATCAATGGCGTAACCCATGTAGGGTGGTTAGGGCAGACGTTCTGACGTAGACTTAGTCTATATTCACATATGATACACAAGAAAATTTAAAATTTTGTTTACATATAATACAAATACTTTTTTATAGGGCCCCTGTTTGACCAGACACTTTAAAAGACAGAAGTGTTTGACTCATGTAAAGATGGAGGGCATGTCAGAGTTGAAATAAACCCAAGCTGCCTGAGAGCACAGTTGGCCTGTAGGTGTTCCCTAATGTGGACTTTATCTGGGTGATCACACCTTAATATGCTATTTGGCTTGCATAGATGGCTTAAGTTTGAAGGGTATAAGAGTCTTAATAGGAGCTAAACTTGAAAAACAAAATCACATAACTGGGTTGGGGGTAATTTACAATAAATTTTCTTCTCTAAAGTCATTAGATAATGTGGCTGCAGAGCTTATGTTAGGATTAAGTTCTGTTCAAGGTAGGCTCTGTCTACACCTTGAATTGTCTCTCTCTAGTTCTTTTTCCTGAAAAAAGATCACTCAGGACTAATTCTTTAAATAACACTTAATAACGTATATGTATTAAATAACCATGAGACATGCCAACAGATTTTTATAGAAATTTTAATCTTATTGAGATCAGAGAAGTTGCTTAGAGCTCGCCTCTCGGGAAGTGGCCCTGACAAACAGGTAGAGAAGTATTTTATACTTCAGTATGCTGCATCATCACAACGTTACATCATACACGTCTGCGGACGAGGAGACATCCATGGCTCCAGCCTTTTCAAAATATTACACTTTTTTCTTAACTGAAGAACACCGCTCTCACTCCATTCCCAAATATTTGCCACGTACAGAATGAAAATTATAACTGTATATAGCCGGACCGAGGAACTGGCCTAAGTAGATAAACCACTGGAGAAAAAATCAGTTCTGACACGCAACAGGCAGCTAATATTAAGGTTTAATAAACTCACACATTATCAATGATAATTATCCTAACAGTTCCCAAAGATTTAGAACAATATCAGCCTGTAGCATAAAATTTCTTTTGTCAATTTCTTTAGGAAAATATTGAAAAGTTTGAAATTCATAATCCATTTCTTTTTTGTTCAAGTTACATCAGTTTTATGCAGTATTCAGTTAAACCTTGGAGATTAGGTTAAGGAAAAAGAAAGAGCTGTATATAATTCTGCAGTAAAAAAGTTGGGTTCCCCATCTTGAGATGCTTGCATCTTTGAATTGCTGGTCTAATTGTTTTGTCACACCCTGTACATCTTCAGTTTATAAGGATGTTAATCTTGAGACCAAGGGTGCTGAAAAATCTTTGAGTGGTGGATAATAGTGAAAGAAAAGTTTTTTTTCCAAAATCCACTGTTTTTTTTTTTTAGGTTTACTAGTTATTCCTTTCTCTTTTATACGTTCACACCATCCTCAGTTTGTTTGGTTTTCCCAGAGATTGTTCCTGTCCATGAGAGCCTGATGTACTGTTGAAGATTATGGCAAACTGCCATATCTTTTTATCTGGCGTCTTGCACAGCGCTTTACCTAATTTCTCAGTTTGACAGTGTGTGCAAGGAATGCACATGAGTGTGTTGTGTTTGCATCTGTGTTTTGAATCTTGCTCACAATGTTTCTCTAAGAACTTGCGCTGTTACCACAGTACCTTACCCTCCAATGGTGGCATTTACTACCCCACCCCCGTATGTTTCCTTGTCTGTTTGTCATTGCAGCGTCTAGCTCACCAACTCCCCGCTTCTTCCTATTTTACCCATTGGGAGGGATCACAGAACAAGGGTGAGAAGGTTGCCCATTTCCCACCTTTAGACTCGCACAGTCTCACAGAAAAGCACCAATGCTCAAACATGCTCCCAGCGACATGCACAGTGTTTTGCTCTTCTGTCTGATTTGCATATTTTTAGTTCATCAATGCACAGACATACTGAGGCATTGTCTGGCTCTTTAAGCCTGCTTTGTTTTTGTGCTGAAGTTTAACTGGTTTTGGGATCTCACGCTTGGTTCCAGTCTCTTAAGGGGCCAAGATATAAGCACTTGTGAGCACCATTATTAAACACAATTCTTTTTCCTTTTTTAAAGAATGTTTTAGATTAAAGTTTGGATTAAACTGGTGTACTTGAATAGCAAGTCCAATAGTACACAGAAAACCTTCAAAAGGTTTCGATATCTTTATCCTTAAGATCCTTTTGTATACTAAATACATCTACATTAAATAATATTGGGTATTTTTTGCTGATGTTGGGCTTCTACTCAGCATAAGGTTTCTACTGGGGTTAAAAATGAAAAGTACTAAAATCTAATTAGATTTTCAATGCTACATGTTTCCTTTGCTGCAAATGAATTTGTTGAATTTCATCTTGTGCTGTCCAGCTTCAGATAAGTAGAAAAAAAAAGATTTAATTTTAAAACGTCCAGCTACTCATATGCATTTAGAGTGAGTTCCTAAAGTTGGGTATTTCTAGCTAAATTACTAATTTTATGACCCTCATATTGGTCACATACCGCAGTGCATCTGTTGTATCTTTCACTCTTTTGCCCTCTTTTGGCATACCTTTTGGCTGTATGATTTTACTGCCCATTTAAAGTTAAAAGTCTGAACTCTCATTGTTATTCTTGAGCTGTTAATTTGGAAAAGAATCCTTCCTGCTGGGTCCCAGCACTGTGTCCAGGAAGACGGCCCCATATGAGATGAGCTTGTGAGCACTGCCAACGGCAGGACGTGGTCCCATAGAGGAGCCTTAAAGGGTCCTCAGAAGACTTGAAGTACAGCCAGAACCCGGGAGGATGCCTGGCTGGTGTCAGACCCACTCCTTTGTTCTTAAAGCTGGGACTGAACGTCCCATAGAGTCTTCCTGGTTTGGCTGGCGGCTCAGAGTTCAACGTGACATTGTGCCCTTGGCTTCTGTCCCTGGTCCATTTGCCCTCCCTGGCCTTCTGATGTTGAGCTTTCTGTCAGGAGCAGAAGGTTGAGCTGTTGGAGTCTAAATGAGTGCAGAGGTCTTGGCCCTTCTGTCACTTTTCTTTCTCCTGAAGCCTCTTATATGTTTAAGCTCAGTCGTTTGAAACGCTGAGCTGTTTGTTGATTTGCACAGATACTTAAAAGGCCAAGAGATAGCTTTAAAGTCTGTTTTAAGGCTAACATTGAGCCTGGGCTGACCATCTCTATCCTCAATTTAATAAAGTATATTGATTGTATAGAATATGTGAGCACAAACATAATTTAGAGAGATCATGGTCAAATGCAAGCACTCTCTGAAAGTGTTCCTCAACTGCAAAATATACCACACATGCATGCATACCTCTTTTATTAGACTTTAACAAAAAAATCCTTCTGCATGTATGCATAGTCAAGTTTTATGATGTTTAAAGTTGCAGAGCTTAGCTTTTTAAAATGTTTGTATAAATCTTAACTCATAAGGGCTTTGATTGGCACACATATTTATTATATTAAATAATTCAAACAAATACCTGTTAAGGTTATTGTGTAAAATTATTTTATTTCCTTTTCATCTTTTAATATATGCTCTCATTATGTTCACAGATTTGATATTCGGTTTAAGTTTACATTTTTTTTTTCATCACACCTCTTAAGTGATATTTAAAATCACTACTGGTTGTAGTAGTTTAATACTAATGTTGAATTTCCTCTCAGGCTCAAAAAAAGTATTAAAACATGCTTAAATATATGTATTTCTTTACCCAATGTTATTGACAGATTTGTTAAAGCCCATTTAAATTGCTTGGTTTTAAGAGTAATTTATAAAAGATGTTAAGATATTCAAGGCCTTTCATAAGCTCAATGTTTGCCTTGTTTATCAATTTAAATAAGTTAATGCATATAGGGCAGCGATAAATTAATATTGTAGTTATAGATTATTCCATTGTTAATCCTCATTATTCAATTGGACAAAATGTGTCACATTCTGCAGACTGTTCACTTATTGATTTATCTTATATGAATAACAGGAACACATAGAAGAAAATTCCAATAGTTTATTTACTTTTAAAATAAGGAAATCAAAAGTTAATTAAGGAAATAAGGAAATTAAAAGGTAACATTCTGGATGCATTCTGGATTTTTTTTATACTTCATTTATACATTTTTTTTTAGAATGTTTTATTAGATATTTAATTTTATTTTTATATATTTCTATATTTCTTTCCAGGTGTATATTCTGTACACAAACCTAATGCTACCATGCTGGTTTTATTTTAAAATCCTGTTTTTACTGCATTTCGAATCCAGCCTCTATGGTTCCATTAGCTACATAAACAGCTTTGTACACTTCTCCAGTGGTACGTGATTGTAAGCAGGCTCTGAACTGATGAAGATGGGAGATCAACATCTTCTCTGACAAAACGATTTCTGCTCAGAATGTTTTTTTTATTATTTTTTTTTGTTATGTTGGCTGCTGCAGGTTTCAGATAAGCTTTGAGCTGCATATTTCCATTTTTGGTCAACTTCCTCCCACCTCATAGTGATGTGTAATTTCTTTCCATAATGAGTGTAAACTTCTTACTGGAAACGATTTTCTTACAGCTTTGCGTTTTAATGGAAAGGTGAAATTTAAA